AAACTCAAGTTTGTTTGTTTTAATAACAACAAATCACTATTAAACAACTCAGGTTCCCATGCTTCAGGGACAAAAGCTGTGGCCCAAAGGCCAGAGGCCCAGATAATCAACCTAGAGTAAAGCCAATATTGGCTGCATTTATATTCACACACGTATGCACAGGCACACACACGCACGCGCACACACACACGCACACACTTTGCTCTTCTGATTGCAGTGCTACTTAGGCAAATATTAACATTTTTACCTACTCTTTAATTAAATTATACACTACCTTCTTAAGTAAAGAAGAAAAAACCAAACAGGAATAATAGGATACTTGGGAAAGTTTCCCAGCAAGTAAAACCGGTGAGTAAAACATTAGTGATTCAGCTCCAGCACTGAAGAGTTTCACATTCACCATCCGTTCAGTGCTCACATTAACCCTGCAAGGGAGGAATCCACTTTAGACATCGGGAAATGCATTTCTGTAGGGTTAGTTTTCCCAAGGTTAAATGGTAATAAAAAACAGTATTACCAATAATACATCAACCTACGTCTCCAAACACAATCCAAAGCTCCCACCACCCCCCAAGAGAAGAGGGCTATGGGGGAAAGCAGTGAGTTAAAAGGTTCCGGCAACTCCCCTCCCTCACTTTACCCTTCTATTCCTTACTCAGCATTCAGCAGCATTTTAGACTGAAGGCAGATCCCATCCAAACAGCTGTTCTAGATATCCTCCCAGAGGACCATTAGCCCGTATTGCTGCCCTGCCCAAATTACCCTACTCCTTCCCGTACCATTCAACTATACAAAGTCCCAGTGTCATGCCCTGGCATTCACAATCCTCCTCCTGATCCTGACCCACCATCTGGCATGAGTGCTCCACAGGAGCCAAACTAGCCCCAAAAGCATGAATCACCTGTGTTCACACAATCCCCTCCCTCCCACCTCTCAGGATAGCAGCAAATGCTCTCCGGAGTCTCATGCCTGGGCCCCAATGCAGGCCTTCAGAACCAGGACATCTTAGCCAGGCAGATGCTTTCTGAGATCACTCCACCATCCATTTAGGAAGCACTGCCCTCTCATAGGGCTAAGCCCAATACCAACTCTAGTGACCAAATAGGATCCCCCTCCCAACCCAATGCCATAATAACCACTCACACCTCTGAAATCCAGAAGCAATTACTGTCTGTACCACCCTGTTGCTGATTAATGCTCCCACCTACTGTTACTATTTTATGTACTCATCTGGTCTCCTAGATTATATTCTTCTCGAGCGCAAGAATTTCGTCTTACATTTCCCCATAGAGCGTAACGTTTTGTACACAGCAGCCCTCCAAAATATCAACATGTTTTTGAACAAACACGAAGATTTTCTTATCTTTCTCCTAACCAGATTTAGGATGTACAGCAGGAAAAATGGAAAGCCTCAGGGCCAGACTTGATTCACTCAAAATTCAAGACTGGCCAGCAAAGAAACCTCAGAAACCAAGGGCACCACACTAAAGTCACTGCAGTTGGTGCTCTGCACCCTGTGTCCATCAGGACTCAAGGATGAGTCAGGCTGCAGGCACGAGAAGAACGAACAAACACATATACAGCAGACAGTCCTCCAATTCGAAGCACCCGAAAATAGTTCCTGCAACATAATTCTCGATGTCTAGCAGAACACCCTCCTTAAGCAGGGTCTGGATGAGGATGGGTGGGTGGAGATGGGACAGCCAAAACATTTTCACCCATCAGTGATCATAAGCAGAAAAACATTTTTTCACTAGAGGAAAAAAAAATGCTATGGCTAAGTGTAAGCCTTTAAATATCTGCTTATGGAGGACATTTCTGGTATTAAGTCACACCACTCGACTGTCCAGAAAAAACTGATTTGTTTAACCTGAAAAGAGCTCAAATATAATGCCAAATAGCCCCATCACACTACAAAATGCTTATTGCAGAGAAAGCCTTAGTGACTTGGGATCTTTCTTTCCCTTTTCCTTTATTTTTTTTGGGGGGGGGGGTTGGCGGTGGGAGGGAAACTTAGTTGACTTTTATACAAAGCCATAAACATGATCTTTCCACATTTTTCCCCACCAAATGGGAGTTTGTGTCAAGCCACATGTCACCTAGCAACTTAAACACCACTCCACAACTAGCCAGCTACCCAATTCTTCATACAAAATTTACATTGTCCTATTAAACAATAAGAGGTAAAAAAGAAATAAGAGTTAAAGCAAGTGTTAATATGTGTTAGCTTCATAATCACCTTAAATAAGGTGGGAGAAAAGAGAAGAAAGACTAAAGTTTAATCTTAACCATTACCTAACAATTTAAGAAGAAAAAGCACCAATGAACCTGGAAGACACTCAGGCTCTTGCAACATCTGAGAGTCAACAGTCTTGTGATCCAATGATTAAACTCTGTGTACTACAAAGTCCATCTTAAAATTCACCTACTGAACTGTGAATTGCACTGAAAGAGCCTTTAAATAATTTTAGAACGCCCTGACTCATCTCTGACTCCTCCTCCTCATTTACATCCAACTCCGATGCTACCATCACCCTGAGAATCACCCTTCCTTCCATCTCCACCTGGTCATCTCACACTTACCCTCTAAAAACTCAGCTCATACGCCCCTTCACTTAGGCATACCTCCCCAGACTCTCTTAAGAAAACCGCACTCCCTTGGGGCGCCTGGGTGGCTCAGTTGGTTAAGCGACTGCCTTCGGCTCAGGTCATGATCCTGGAGTCCCTGGATCGAGTCCCGCATCGGGCTCCCTGCTCGGCAGGGAGTCTGCTTCTCCCTCTGACCCTCCCCCCTCTCATGTGCTTGCTCTCTCTCATTCTCTCTCTCTCGAATAAATAAATAAAATCTTTAAAAAAAAAAAAAAAAAAAGAAAACCGCACTCCCTTTTCCATGTTCCCAGGTCACTCTGAAACAACTACCACTAATATTTAAAAACAAGGTCCAGATGTTATCACTAAGACCCCTCAGTTACATCTACCCAACATCCCAGACACATTCCCTTCTCCCTGCACCACAGCATGATAGTCCAGAACACCGTCTCCTTCACTTGAAGGACCTCAGAGCCTCTCGTCCTAGACTCTTACACTCCCAACTTCCACAAAGCAGCCAGTGGGTCCCCTGGATGTCCAGCACCCAGAACAATGCCTTGAACAAGTAAATGCTTCAGAATTTCTGTGGAAGGAATGAATGACTGGATCAATCAACTACATTTTTATCTCCCAAACAGGCTTTTCGACCAATGTCCACGGTGTGCATAGTGAAACACAACTAATTTTAACCAAGTAAAATTAGTAAAATGAAAGGAAATGTCCTCCCTATTCAGTAACACAGGCACACTGCCTAGGTTATATTATTGTACTTCTCTTTCCTTTCACAACTTATTTTGGTCTCCAAAGTGCATAAGCAACCTGATTATTGATTTAGAACATTTAGATCATAAACTGCCATTTATAAACAATCTTTTAAAATGCTAAATGTAGGTTTAGAGAGTTATGTTTCCCCTTGTCAGCACTGCAAAATAAACGGGTGCCCAATTTCCACTAATTTTATTTGATTTTCAGTAACAGTTAAACCAACTGTAAGGAACATTTTAGAGCTGTTAAATATAGTCAACATCTTCCATCTTTATGTCAGGTTCCTAAACGTTCCCCGGATGATCTTCAAAAGGCCAAATTTACCCTATTCTTTCCAATATATGCTAAAAAGCAAACAACAGTGTAAAAAGTTTTTCTCCCTTAATTTCAGAGATTACTGGAGGGCGCACCCTGTATACACTCAGGCTGGCAAAGCCACCGGCCCCTCGCCTGCCGCCCCAAAGCCCACAGAAGCTAGGCCACTCCACTACCGGAAACAAATGAGAAATTTTTTAAGTGAACATGCCTTCCACCAAACGTTACTCTACAGCAAAGGAAATATCCTCAGGTGCTTGACAGAAACTTCGGAGGCATAGGCTGTTGTCAAACACAGACAGCCGATAAAACAATTTAACAAAATGCCTTTTCACTTCTGACACATTGTAGAGGAATGCAGTTAAGTGGAGACAATGTTATCACTCCACGAAGAAAAAGGGAAATCTACTCCACTCCGAAATCAGGCCCTAGCTCCGCAGCCCCAGCACCATATGGAACTAGTTCCAGATAGGTAAACGCTGAGGTCCTCGCAGAAAAACTTTTAATTCGGTGACTGATTTCAGGGTTGTGCCTTTTAAAGGAGTCCTGCACGGGAGCCCCTCAACACCGAGATTCCGTGCCCAACCAATGTCCGCGAGCCCATGGAAGCGCGTGTCCCTCTCGGGGCTGCCGGCGACTCTCCCCCACCAGCGGCCCCCAAACCGCGCCGCGCGGGTCCTGCCCGCGCGCGACCGGGAGGCGAAAGGGCTCGTGGCTTCGGCTCTTTCCCCCGCCCGGACGAAGGCAGTGTTGGAGTACAAATGCAGCCGCTCTCCGCCGTGCGGGGAATAATTAAACTCTCCTCCAACCAAAAAAAGTTCCTTTTCCCCAGCCTTTGCCGCGGGGCCTGGGAGCGGGGAAAGGCCTGAGGCTGGATTTCAACCGCCTGCAGCCTGGGGAGCGGCGTCCGGCCAGGTTTCGCCCGCGCCCCGGAGGGCTGAGTTCGGGCTCGGTTCCTAGGACAGGCTCCTAAGGGGCGCCTGTGGCCGACGCCCGCCCCGCGGCCGGAGCCCCGAGGGACAGGCGGGCGGCGCTCGGCCGGGGAGGAGCCGCGGGGTCCGGCGCTCCCACCCGGGGCTGCGCCCACCCCACCCGCCCGGCCCGCGCGGAGAACTTTGCCGCCCGCAGCCTGGGGCGGGGGGCGCCCGCGAGGCCCGGCCCGGCCGCCGCACTTTCCCTTTCCCCGCCTCCCCTCCGTCTCCCTCCTCCCCTTTCCAGGAAGCGCCATATTGATCCCGGCGCCTTCCCCCTCCTCCTCTTCCTCCTCCCTCTCCTCCTCCCCCCTTCTCCCGCCCCCACCCCTCGCGCCCCGTGCGCCCCCGGTCCCTCACCTTGGCGATGGCCTTCCGGTAGCGGGTCACCGCTTGCTGGATGAGGCTGAAAACTTTCATGTGGCCGTCTCCGCACGGCACGACCACCCGGGTCCTCCCGAAGCACACGGTCACTTTCATGCCGCCGCCGCCGCTGTCGCGGGCCGGCCCGCGCCCCTCGCTGACCGCGGCCGGAGCGGCCCCGGGCAGGGGCGGCTGGACGCTGGGCGCGGCGGGGCCGCTGCACGGGCGCGCGGGAGGCTAGGGGCGCGGGCAAGCGGCGGCGCCGGGGGGCCGCTCGGCTAGCATGCCCGGCCCGGCCCGGCCGCCCTCGCCTGGCCCGGAGCTCGCCTCGCCTCTCCCCGCTGCAGCGCCCGCAGCCTCCGGCCACCTGTTCGGCGTCTCGGCGCGCTGGACGGCGGCGGCCCGGGGCTGTGTGGCGCTCGCGCTCACTCGGGGCCGCTGGGGGAGGGGACGGCGGCGAGGGGAGGGGAGGAGGAGGAGCAGGGCCGGGCACACAACACCGCGCACATGCGGCAGGGGGAGGCGCGGCCCGCTCCCCGCGCGGGGCGGAGCGCACGGCCGCGGCCCCACGCCCCCGCCGCCTCCCTCCCCAGGGCGCGGGCAGCCGCGGGACCCCGACCGCACGGCCCGCCCCTACCGACGGCCTTCCGCCGGGGCCCGCCCTTTCCCGGGCGCCGCCACGGAGGTGGGAGGCCGTGGCGCCCCTCCCCCCGCCCCGCCGACCCCCGCGGTTGGCACCGTGTCCCCCACCCGCCCGCCTGAAGCACTCCAGCGCGTTGCGGGGGCTGCGCTCGTATCGCTGAGCCCCTCCTCGGGGGCGCCGCTCCACACCCCCCACCCCCGAGGTCTCTCCAGAGCCCACCCCCTTTCTTTGTCACTTTTAATCCCCTTCCTCCGGCTAGGGGGTTCGGGAGAAATCGTTTCTAGAGAAAACACTTCACTCCTGGCGCCGCGGACTCTGCGCACAGAGACGCTTCGAGAGGAGCCGTCCCCACGTTCCCCCAGGAGGACAGGGACGGGGCTGGTCCGGGTTGTTCCAGCCGAGGTTTCTCCTCCCAAGGGGGCCCTCGCGCCGCCGACGTCTCCCCCCGCCCCCGCCCTCGCTCGGCCCGCATCTTGGCAGGGTTTTTGCACTGGCTCGCTTGCCGGGCTGCAAGGCCGAGCGGAGGTTGTTATGCGTTAAAAGCAAAAATTAATCGTCTGCTCTGGGGAGAGGTTGGTGAAGCTCTGACTCGACCCGGCCTTTCTCCAGAGGCCATACTATTTACCTTGAAGTTTCCTGTGTGACCCGGTGATGACCCACCCACTTCAACATGTAGAATTTAAACCTCTGCAATTTTATTTCTTAAAATTCTGCAACACAAGCAATCCTAACGCAAATTCATGAACAATACATTTAGAATGCCTTGGGGGAAAGCTGTGCAAGGGGATCCCCACGATGCGCCGGCGCTTAATGCGGGCCCTTAAACTCCAGGAAAAGAAAGAAACTCCGTAATAGGTTACATGCATGCGGGAGGTGAGACGGTTTTTTTAAAAAGTGGACGGAGTCAAGAAAAGTAACTGGCGCTCGTCTCTGTCTTAGTTATGAGCTATGATTCCTTAATAACGGGATGTCACTGTGTTTAAAGAATGACAAATGTCAGCAAAGAGTCGTTTGTCCATGTCTGTCCTAAATGGTAGTAACTTCATTTTGTCCAGTTATTCCTAGGAAATGTGAAAGCAATTAACAGCTCTCTTGAGCGCAAGTGGAACGTCAGCATTTACAGCAGGAAGAGCAGGTGATCATCCCTCCATCCCATCCCACCTTCCATTTTAAAATAAGGAAATAGATCATCTGTTTTCCAGAATCCCTGCACTTTCCCCTGCCCTACACTGCCCCAGGTATAGTGCAATTTGTCATTTAAAAAAAAAAAATTATACTTCCTCTTATCTACAGCCCTTGACCAACGTACTCATCAGTCCCAGCAAACCAGCACAATAAGTAGGTGCTGTGTGTCATCATCACCATCTTACCCCAGGATACTGACTGAGTGTTGAAGTCGCTTGCCCAAGGCCACAGAGAAAGCTTGAGGCAGACCCAGAAATAGAGTCCAGGTTTCCTTCCACTCATTCATGGTAAAGGCTCATTATACTCATATTTGGCTGCAACATTCCACATTTCTACCCAATAATTAAGTTTGTGATAGTTTGTAACTATGATAACAACCCATGCTGAGGTCTTCTTGCTTCTTGTACTAATAGTTGGATCCACAGCAATTACCAGTAATTGTAGATGTTGTTCTGTTTTAATGCATTGGGGAGGGAGGAGTATACTAGTTTAGAGTGGGGCTTTCTCGAAATAATTCTGATTGAAAAATAAGTTGAAGAATAGCCAGAGCACATCAGACACAAGTCTCTAGATTCAGATCCTGACTCTACCAATTTACTAGTGCCTTAGACATGGCACTCAGTCTCTCTCTAGCCTCAGTTTTATCAGCTGAAAAGAGGGCTGATGATCTCCATCTCATCAATTATAAGGATTAAATAAAATAAAGTATTGACATTTAGCACAGAGCCACCACATGAGAGTGTGTAGTAGAGTCGGTTACCATAATGTAGGTGAAGGGTGACAAAGTTCAGGACAGGATAGCAAAAGATAATGTTGTGGGGAAGGAAGAACAGAGGCAAGAGGAGCCCAGGGCTCAGAGAAATCGCCGGACTGGTGGTAGAGCTGCTCAGTGACTGGACCAGGGTTCATGACTCCCAGGTCTCTACTCGATTCATTTTAATTTGATTCCACATGCAGTTAGAGAAGAGCTTCCATGTGGAAAGCACTGGCTAAGTATTACAGAATTAGAAAAGTGAGTAAGAAAAAGATAGTATAGAGGTTGGAATAAGATAGTTATTGCAATAACTTTAATTCAAGATGTTAAATATTAAGTGCCAGCGAAGTGTTGAGGGCAGTACTAGGATGGGAGATGTGTCTTCATAGAAGAGGCAGCATCAGAGTATATGCGTACCACTCTATGTCAACTCCTTCCATTACTCAATAGTTAATAAGGGTTCAGACAATTTTTCAAAAATACGAGCCATAGGATGGGCACCTGGGTGGCTCTCGGTTGGGCAGGTGACTCTTGATTTTGGCTCCGGTCATGATCTCAGAGGCCTAGGATGGAGCCCCACATCAGGCTCTGCACTCAGCAGGGTATCTGCTCAAGGATTCTCTCTCTCCCTCTACCCCCCAACCCCCACTGCTCATATGCACTCACTCTCTCTCTCAAATAAATAATCTTTTTTAAAAAATATAGGATTAATAATTAAAATGTCTCTTTAACTAACCAGATAAAGCCTTAAAGTTTTATTTAAATCTACCTAGTTTTTCTAGATATAGTGATTCCCTTTATGTTAATGATTGATGAAAAACTAATGCTGTGTTAATTTTAGATACCAGACTCTTAGGTATCTTGAGTCAAATGCATAAAATTTCCTCACAAATAATGAATCTACTCTCACCGATGTGCTTAACTAACATCTAACCATGAAGATGCATTAGAGCCAGGCTACCTAATTGCTTCTGGCCTGAGTAGGCATAAAAGCAAGCCCAGTCCTAATGAGAAGCAAAATCATCAAAGTCAAGGGTGGAATGTTATATAAATATTTACCAGTGTGTTTACTCTCTTAAATTCAGCATATTTCAGGTGAAAAAAAAAATTGTAGCCCTTATCTTACTTGTACTTCTCCTTTACAGTTGATTGATTCAATTGGTTTTAAAACCCTCAGAGAATTCTGAGAATTAATTGGGATCCACCTGGGCTTTGTGCCTATCTGCAAATGAAAACGGGCAGGTGTGACCACCTGGACTACAATCTCAACCATATCCGGCAGCACTCATGTGCACCATGAAATAGATACACACACCACATGTGCGTGAGCACTATTGTGTTACCCAGCATCTTCCCCTTAGAAAGGTAATAATTAGGAATTAAGAAGACATTTACAAGAGTTTTTAAAATTCATCATACATTGAAAATTGAAGTTATCTCTGGGATATTTCACACACATATTGAGTGCCTACTCATAAGTATTATACTTAAGATCATGTTAACACTTGTGTATGCCAGCCTCGCACAAGTGCAGTCTAATAGAAGAATTGGATCAGTATTTACCAAATGATTGTTGTCCACCTCTTTGTACCAAGCACCACACGGTAGGCTGGGTATGTAAGTTCCTCTCTCGCGAGGTGCTCAGTCTGGTAAAGATTTCAGATGTGGACAGACAGCCACTAGAGTATGACAGGTATTACATATGAGGGTCAGTGGCCTCCAGAGGAAGTATACACTCCTTCTGGGGGGAAAAGGGGGGAGGTGCAAGCAGGCCATCTAGAAGAAAGCAGTTAAGAGAAACAAAAAGCGAACCCCATTTGTCACTTTAAATCTTCAAGTAGCTGCAGATGAAATTGATTTTAACAACATCTCTTATTTAACCCAAGAGATCCTAAATATTATCATTCCCACATGTAATGAACTTATTTTTTTAATTTTTTTTTTAAGATTTTATTTATTTATTTGACAGAGAGAAAGAGATAGCAAGAGAGGGAACATAAGCAGGGGGAGTGGGAGAGGGAGAAGCAGGCTTCCCGAGGAGCAAGGAGCCCGATGCGGGGCTGGATCCCAGGACCCTGGGATCATGACCTGAGCTGAAGGCAGACGCTTAACGACTGAGCCACCCAGGCGCCCCGTAATGAACTTTTTAAAAATACTAATATTTTTCATACACCTTTTCGTATGAATTCTTCATGACCTTCATGTGTAGTTTATACTTAGAGTACATCTCAGTTTGAAACCAGCCCTCCATATTCATTCACTCATGCATGACTCATTCATCAAACACTGAGTAACTAGCATGTGTCCAATCTCATGAGGGTTCAGTGGCTGCCTGTGGCTCGTGGCTACCATATTGGACAGCACAGCTCCGGAGGACGGGACTGCTGATGGCTGGAAGCCACAGGCACCATCAAGGAACTTACAAACGGATTGAGCTCTTTGAGGGCAGAGACTATTATTCACAGCACTTCCCCAGAATTGCTCTGAGGTGGGGGAAAAGAGGACTTCATGACATAGATATGAATTGCATAGTACAGCTGTGTTTAAGAAAAATGCAAAGATTGGGGGAAATAAGAGCTGCACTTGGGCTCAGTAGAGCCTCACTGTTGTGCAACATTAAACATCAGTCTAGTAACCGTGGTTTTTCTAATGAAACATGAGCTCGTATGAATGTACAGGTGGGAGAAATGGCCAACGAAAAGAAAAAAAAAAAAACGAGAAAGGAAAAGAGTAAGAGAGGAGAGGAGCCTGATGATCCCCAACCTGCTGAAAGCAGTCATCAGACATGAAAAGTACAGGGAGTGACTTGGTTCACAACAAAAGTAAATTGTACAGGACAGGGCGGGCCCTGCCAGGCTTCCTCAGGCCATCTCCTTTCCCCATCACATCCAACGCTGAGTCTTCACCCTTGAGGCTAGTATAATCCAAATGGCTCCAAATGGCACCTGACTCACCAGCTTGTGATTACAGGATGGGGTAGTATTTACTTTTAT